GTAGTAATGTACCGCCTATAGCCGAGACGATATTCGAATTATTGAGTGGTGATCGCCGGCGTGATAATTGCAGTAATTGATTCCGATTGATAGTGAATCATTGCGTGCGTCGTTAGTCGTTAACCCTCTCGAGCACGCAACCCCATTAGTCAAACAACAGGTGTCGGCGGACGGCCGAAGGCTGATCGCGGCTACTGTATTATCGGTAAAACAAACAGACCCGCAGCAAATGCTCGTACTGCGTCTGTACGGGAATTTATTGTCAGCAATCGAGGAGAGCTCGTGGTGGCATTTTTCATATCTTGATGTCTTGAACAGTTTTGTATATTTTCATTTTTTATCATTGTTTTGTACGACAGCACTATTTTAATTACTATGTTAAAAATATATTATTATATTGTTAACATATTTGTTCTACATTAACTTTTTATTTGCACTGTCTCTTAGGTAACACTTAAAATATTTTGGTGAATGGTGTCTTGCCTCATGGCAAATTGAATGGCTTATGGATCTTTCAATATTGTAATTAAAAGCGTTAAAATTTTTTGAAATGCTTGAAAAATTACTTTTATGAAAAATTTGAAATTTTTAATTTCTCATAGCGTAAGTTATAGTAATCGCAAAAAGGTCGATAATAATTTTTTTTATATATCTTTACGTTTTAGAGGTTTCTGAACATTTTGGCAAATTTTCGTCGAATAATTCAAAAAACATCCGTTCCTACTGTTAGGAGACGTGCTGATTTGTTTCTGGCAAAGGCAGGTTTAGCCGTTTCGGAGATGCGGGGCACAAAAATGGTTTTTCAGTTTTTGAGATAACGGAGAGTCCGATTTAAATAATTTAAAAAACGTCTTATTATTATTGACGAAATGAAAAACTGTTATTTTTGTTAAAGCTTTAGCACGTACCACTAGTTAATTGAAAATTTTATACATCTTGCTATAATGAAAATATGGAGAAATAACATTAATCGTAATACAAAAAATCGTAGTGCAAATGATTCGACTTTGGAGATATATTGATGTAATTGAAACTAATTCTTCCTATAAAATTTTGTCATTTTTTTCGAAAAAAATTATATCTATATTTATTAAAAAATTATATCTATCGTCATTCTATATTTTTAATATAGAGATACAATTGAAAATATTTGCACTTCGTTCAAAAAAGGTACAATATTTTTTAAATTAGTAGCAGGCTAAGCTATTGATAAACGAAATAATGTAGTAGGGTAATGATATACAAATTTAATAGAGTAGGGCGGGGCACAAAGATCCAATTTAGCTTCGATCAATTATATTATGAAAAGCAATCCAATTATATCACAACAAATAACACATATCAAACAAACTACTATCTAACTATGTTTAGTAAAACCCAGCTAATTCACCATTGTGCAAATGTGTTTTTTTGCTCTTTTCAAAAAATTGTCATCTGGTCCTTTTGACCTCATTTGTAGGGTAAAATAAGACGACCAGGGGGCAAACAGGTCCAATGACTTATTTTTACACTGTATATAACCTTGATCTAGTATTTTATCAGAAATATTTATCAGCAGAGTGGAATAACAATTTATCAACCTATACAAGGGTAGGTTATAGTAATCTTGAAAAAATTCTTTACGTTTCAGGACCATCTGAACATTTTGGCATACCTTAGAAAAAATGGATGTAACGCAGCAAATTATTTTTTATTTACTATTTTTTATTTTTTACACCTTTGCTAGAGTGGTTTAGTTGGCCCTTTTTACCCCACCCAAATGTCAGCTTCAATAGATGGTATATAAAAAAAACTGTTGAATCTTAAAAACTTAAAAATAACAGTACACCTTATAAATCAACTAAATAACGTATACTTAAAAATGATATTATGGTATTGTAAACTAAACAACAGTGTTCATAACAAAAAAAACTGCCAACGGAAAAAAACTTTTGTTATAGATTTTCAAATATTGCCGTTTATCTCTTGATAGCAAAGTTAAGACACAAGCAAAGACGAAGCACAGTGCTTAAAACCCAAAAAACTATTAACGAAAGGAGATACTTTTGTTATGGATTTTCAAACATTGCTGTTCATCCCTTGACAGCGACGTCGTAAAAATCAAGGTGATGGCTGATTATACATGTTTTCCACCCTACTTTCAAATATTTACTTCTTCTTAAGATATTGATTGTGGATTTTTTACCCGTGGATCTTTAAGTCCCGTTCTACCCTACTCATCATAATTTTTCAAAAAAAATCAAATTAATAATTTAATTCTCAATTATTCTCCGTATGATTAATCCACCCTTCGCCTTTGGGCCGAGTGGTTCGTCTCCTGTTGGCCTGTCGCGCGGCGCGTTTTATGTTTTATTGCTACGTCTTTGCGTGCGCTGTTGTTGCTGGTAATATAACAATATTCTAGTTTTCTACTGTTATCTTTATAGTCCTGCGATTTAAAGTCGCGCGACACCGAGCCGACAAAGCGTCTCTTGACAATTGGCTGTCGTTTATTATTGCCTGTTTGTGCCTGTTTGCAAATCATAAAATGTGACTGGAAGATCGTGGCACTGTGCATGCCTCATCGTATAATGCTCACGTCTACGCCGAAAAAAATTGGAGAAGATTGAAGAAAGTTCATGATTTTTAATAAGGCAACTGATTAAAACTTAAATTACTAGAGCCTATTGCCATGCTTGCTGTTTCGGCGTACTTCCAGACTTTGGTCGTCTGTTCATATCGTTCATCTGCATATATGTTTGGCGTTTGTGTATTCTATTGAATCGCGAAATATATTACACTAAATATAAAGCATGATAAAAAAAACTTGTGTGCAGTAGTGATGTAAATTAGATTTTTGAGAATTTTGAAATTTTTTCGAAAACATACTTTTTTGAAAAATTAGAATTTTTTTATATTCTGATTTTTTTGAAAAATTAAATTAATTTTAAAGCGCTACGCGTTGCGTAGCTATTTTAGTGACCAAATATGGAAACGTAAGCGCTACGTCGCAGTCAAACGGTTAATCATCATAAATATTGGCACGAAACCCAAAAAAATGTTTACAAATATTTTTTTGGTAGTGCTTTTAGTTCGAGTCCGTGTTTCTGATCCGCAAAGAGCATTTTATCAACATCTTGCTCTTGTTGAGGCTCAGCTTTTTTGTCAGTAGTGTTACATTTTTTAGAGTCCACATTTCTGATCCGTAGGGAGTTATGATTAGATTTTTTTTAATCTTTTAATTATTAGATTCCTTCAAAAATTAATAATTTATTTGCTTGTCAGTAGTGTTCTGTTTCAAAGTTTGTACTTCTTATTAACATACTTGATAATTTAATGTGCATATGTCTAATGATAATTTTTGTCCGCCAAACGGAAATTTTATCGGATTTTTATTTTCTATCGGATTTTTATTTTCTATCGGATCTCCGAAACTACATAACCTGCTCTCTCAAAAATTTAATCACATCTTCATTCCGTCAACATTAGTGAAATGCTTTCTGAATCATTGAAATCGTTTGGTCTGTGCTCCTAAAATCGTGTACGAAAAATTGTATCCGCACGTACCTATGCATACACATACATACATTTTTTTTTAAAGTATGCCAAAACGTTAAGAAAGTTTTGAATCCCAACAATGTGCAGAAATTTTCATTTTCGATTATATTGCGATTACTATAACCTACACCACAGAAATTTAATAGTTATGAGATTATTCATTTTTCGGATTTTTTTCTAATATTAAATGTGTGTGTAAATTTATTATATAATACAAGTTTTATTGTATTTATTTATTGTACAAGTTTTATATTTACTTGCGGTTTATTGAATCTTAAATTCAAATTTTACATAAATTCTTAGTAAAACATTTTTTTTCAAAATTTTTATTAAAATTGTCACATTTTTTTAACAATTTTTAAGAAGAAACGTACGGCCGATCTTTATCAAAAACTAATCAGCACAATTTCCTAATATTTTTTGAAATTTTAAAATTGGTTCAGAATATTTGACTAAAACGAGGACGAAAAATTTAGCATATTTTTCTTAATTATAAAGAATCCGCTAGGCCGATAGTCGCGCAAAAAAAATTAATGTGAGATCTTATTGAGTTACATTGATTAGCTTTTAAATTTTTGAAAATAGTGCAGCCGTTTTTGAAAAAACGTTCACAAAAAATTCATAAACGATTCAAAATGACTTGCAACGTCAAGAAAACATAATTTTACCAAGTCGGATTTTTTGGCAAAATCATAAGCCCAATAAAGCATATATTGAAAAAAAAATCATTATATAAGTTACAGGGCTGTTTTGTGTTAAAAACTGAAAGCCAAGCACTCGGCGCTCAAAACGGACGTGTTACACAAAATACGTATTTGTATATAGTGTTATTAACAATTTTGAATTGTAATATAAATAGTACGCATTCTTTTGAGCATGCCCATGAGAACGCCTACATCATGTACCAAACAATAAATAAATATCAATCGTCACGATCCTTAGTTACTATGAACCTTGTCTGTTTTTTCTCACTGCATCATACTCTAATGAATAATAACATAAAGATAATTTTTAAGCTTTCCACTTACGATAAACTTTTTTATAAACAGCTAATCATGGTGAGAATTTCATTAAAATTTCGGGCAATATTTTCTGTATTTTATTGCATTTTTAGAAATAAGGCATGCCTGCACTTCAGATATATATCTTCGACACAAATATACCAAGGAATGCATTAGCACGTTCTTGAGGGTGTTATAACTATCAAGCATTCAATATCGAAATATAAAGCATATGCTTTGACAAATGTGTAGTTATGTAAAATTATATTTACATATATGCAATTGGTTGAATTTTGTTATATTATGAATAGTTTAAAAATTTTAGTTATAACATTGGCTTATTCATATCATATTAAATTTCTGAAAACTTTCCGAATATTATAATGTGTTACAGTGTATTTTTGAATGGGTCGATATTGATTATTGCTTCTTTATAATTTGGTAATTTACTTGTATTTTCAGATAGGCCGTTATTGAACTTGGATATTTTATTGGATATTAAACAATGCAAAACTTTTTTATATCCCTATAATTTGGTAAGTCATTTATTTTGTATCTATGCTACTCAAAAATAATTAAATTATTTTTATTTATTCTTATATTACCTTGATAAATAAATATTTAGCTAAAACTTTCATTGGATTTATTATTATAGCTTTAATTATATTATGAGTATAGTGACATGATGTGGAAACAAAAATGTATATATACAATTCTTTTACCTTTATTGGGTAGCGAGGTGCTTGATCGTAAATGAGTGAAATTAGGATTTTTTTAACAATATTTGAAAGTAGAAGTCAAAAAAAGTTTCTGACAAAGTGTAACCAGCCATTGCCTTAAATCGGGCAACTTCGCTATCACGAGCTAAACAACATTATTGTTAATTTTATAACAAAAGTATTTTTTTCGTTGTTAGTCTGGTTTATTTTTGAGCTCGGTTATTTAGTTTACGATACCTGAATATAATTTTAAAATCTACGTTATTTAATTTTTTTTATAAGATAAATCGTTATTTTTAAGTTAGTTTCAATGGTTTTTTTATATAATCTTTAACCTCTAGAATAATATGTGTTTGGGGTAAAAAGGATCACCTAACTTTTGTACTAATAAGGTGTAAACAACTGGAAAGAAGTAAATGAAAATGTAATATAAGTTTAAAAAATCACAAAATTTAAATTATCAGTTATTCCAACTTTGATGATAAATTTTTCTGACAAAATTTCATACGAAAGTTGTATGCAAAATATGTATTTATACTATACTATAAAATATGTATTTCAGACAGAAGTTGTATTTAATTTATTTGTAAATAAATAGCATGATAATGATAAATTATGCAGAAAAACCTACCAAAGCAAGATTTTGGATAGTAATATGATTTATTATACAGTTTAAAAATACATATTTAGGTTATGATTTCAAATTTTAATTTTTAGTCTAATAATTAAAGTGTGTTGCATTCATTAAATAATGTAGATAATATTTCATAAAATCTCTTCAAAATTAAAAATATAATCTTTTTGCTCTTTGACTGTTCCTTTTTATCTCGCCTATGGGGTAAAAAGAACCAGGTAACAAATTTTTAAAAAATGGCAAAAAACATATTTCTGCAATGATGAATTAATTGTTAACAATTTTACTCAACCTAGTTGGATAGTTGTTTGTTTGATATGCGTTATTTGTCTCGATTTATTTGGTTTGGTTTTCACAGAATAATTGCCAAAAATCAAATTGGATCTTTTATGATATTAGAACCCTATTAAATTCTTTATTCTTATTATCACAAGAAAGCAATAATAAATAATATTTTTTATAATATTTAAACTTTTAATTGATTAAAGATAAGTATATGCATAATCGGTCTAATGTAACAATAGTTATATTTTATATAACTCAAAATCTGCCATCCATATATTTTTTTACGTTAACAACACATTCATAATACTAGTTTACGTAAAAAGGTCTTGCAAATTAGTGCAATATAACTATAGCAAAATCGTAATTGTGCCGTTTCAATTACTTTGCCTTAAAAAGCATACCGTTATTTGGTACCATAAAGCAACAGATGTAAAAAAATGACATAGTTTTTTTTATTCTTTTGCTCCAGTATGGTAGGCATTGTGACCTGATTTAGGTACCATCCACTAAAAAATAGGTCACCTCCGTAAAACATAAAACGAATCATAAATGGCATAATATGTGCCAGGTTTTAATACTGCGAGCAATAAACGATTAGCAGATTGTTCATAAATAGAGTAGGCACTTTGGGAATGCATTTTTAGTATTCTAAAAAGTGAGTTATTATTGTACATAAATCTTATATGATTCGAGAAAAAAATCATTTATTATTTTTTGAGCCTTCTTATAGTTAGGTGCAATATTAATAAACCAGTTTTATATGATGCCGTCCTATCGAACATGCCTACCTTTTACGTTTTTTTGCATTAACTTTAGAGAATACCTTATTTTTTCTGTTTGCACACAGATATAAAGCTGTAAATGTACCTATATAAAATATATTTGTGCTTTTACTTAAGGACTATGAACTTTTGACTTGTACAAAAAATACGAGTGAAAGCAGATGAAATTTGATCACAATCTTTTAAAGCCACCCTCGTCGAAGATGGAACAAACGCTAATAATTTCTTTCCCAAAATGACATGATTTTTGGTTTATATTCTTGTCAAAACTTTGCTATCTCAAGTTTTTTTTATGCTTAATTTGTCTCCCTAAATACATACATATGCATATATAAGATTATTTTACTATTTATAATTGGTATGAGTTTTAATTTAAATTGTTTTAGAACTAATTTTATTTTTATAAAATAATACAGTATATACTACAAATTTACTTTTCAATTACAAAGTTTTAATCAATTTAATAATTTTTTTATTGATATTTAAATAAAATTGTTTGAGTGGCTAATCAACTAAAAAATAGAGTTTAATTAAAACAATTTTATAGTAAACCGTAAAGAGGAAACATCTGATCAGAATTTATCAAATTTTAATAAAAAACAACTATTCCTATAGGTTAAAAAAAAATATTTTTGTTGAGTTGTATGAGAATGTAACTAAATAATCTTCTTATGGAAATATTTAATTTTTGTTACTTAATGTATGACTTTTAAGGAATATGAGAATAACAGTTGAAAGTTATTTTAATGTAAGAGAATTAATTTGGGAACTACGTAATCATTACTAAATAACAGTTTATTTGAATAGAATAGTTATTTTGTTATATTGACGATTAAGACCCAGTCTAGGTTGTGTGTTCAGAACGAGAATTACAAACCACTGATGCCGAGTTCGATACCTACCTCGACCAGCTTGGTATCAAGCAGTCTGATATCATGTTTTTACTTGACCTCAAATATGATTTCAATTAAGAATAACTTTTTGCGAGCATTGCTGCATAATAATAAAAAGTAAAAAAAATGCTGTTGAAGTATAGTAAAAAAATATATTACATCTAGGAAACTAGAATCTTGCCTTTCAAACTAATTACTTTAATAGTAGACATATATTCTAATTGGGTAGGGCGGGACACAAAGATCCATTTTGACTTTGAGCAATCGTATTGTGAAATCCAAACCAATTATATCAAACAAAGTACTATCTGACTATGTTTAGTAAAACTTCCAGCTAATTCATCATTTTAGAAATGTAATTTTTCTGTTATTTCAAAAATTTATCACTCATAAAGCAAGGTAAAATGGGACGGCCAGGGAGCAAACAGTTCTTCATACCTTATTTTTAATTTTAAAAGTATTTTATGAAATAATAGCTACATTATTCAACCAAAGCAAAATATAAATTTCATGGGTGCATTTTCCACCGAGGTAATACGGTAAATAACCTTTTTTGGTATTTTGTCAGAAACATTCATCAGCAGAGTTGGAATAACTATTTATTTAATTCATCCTTTGTGTAATTACTTTTATTAACTTAAATTACTTTGTTATTTTTTACTATTTCTTATTACACACCTTTGCCAAGGCAAAAGTTCGATTGGTCCTTTTTATCCCACCCACGTGTAACAGAGGTTAAATAAAAAAAAACTGTTGAATCTAACTTCAAACTAAAAATACATATCATAAAACTATTAAATAGCGTATAGTTAAGAAATAGCATAAGGTCTCGTAACTAAACAACAGTGCTCGCAACCAAAAAAAGTAAGAACGAAAGAAAATACTTATGTTATGGATTTTCATACATTGTCGTTTATCTCCCGACAGCAACGTCGTAAGAATCAAGGTGATGGCTAATTAGACATCTTTTTTTCCTCTACTTTCAAATATTGTTGTTAAAAACCTCCTAACTTTTATTTGTTTTTGAGATATCGGTGATGGACCTATTTATTCGCGGAGCTTTAAGTCCCAATCTATATAAAAAATATTGACAATACAATATTTTGAAGATGTTTGATAAAATTATTGACGATCTGCTGGTGTATCTAGTTAAGTAAACGTGATTTTTTTTAAAAAAAAAAGAATATTATGTCACTACCATTATGCAAGAAAGAGATTCTTGAAATCTGTGTAAGTTGAGTAATAAAGTATAGTGTTTATTAGTGTATTGAATCGTGTTATCCGTATGCTAATCCCTAATCCCGTATCTTATTGTTAGCGCCAGTGAGTGGTGGAACCCGATATGTTAATATTTCTCGACCACACGCGTGACACACGATGCTCCTTCCAAGCCAGACTTATTGGTGTTCGGTCGAAAGATGCTAGAAAACAATAAAACACGATACTTTTATAGATGATACCCATCTAGAGACACAAAATGCCTAAAAGCCACTAGAACTGAGTATTCATCGACGATTTTCGATTTTGCGAAATCGACACTATTTAATTAACACATATTTAAACACTTATCGATAGCTAAATTTTTAACTAGTGGTACATGGAATCGCGCCTTAAGGCAAATTGCTGCTACTTACCGTCAATGAATATTTTTAAAAATTTTTAACATTTTTCATTTCTTAACATTTTTGAAAATTTAAATAAAGTTATATTAGAGAAAATTAAAATTAGAGAATTTTGATTTTTTTTAAAAATTTAATTTGATGTGCATATGTCTAATAATCATTATTGCTTTTGGAGAAAGATTTTTTTTTTATTTCAAAATTTAATTTTTTCTTGTAATTTCTAAAAAAAGTATTTTTTTTAGATTATCGAAAATAATTTGGATTTTAATTTTGATTTTAGCTAAAATTCTATAGTCCACTTATATACTTCAAACAAATAATTTTAACTTTCTAATTCAGTTTATATAATTCTTATAAATATTAGACAATGTCCATCATTTTAAATCCGATTGATTAAGTTTCAATATTTACTTTTCTCTAATACTATATCGTCGTCTAATTCATAATTTTTTATATTTTGTCTATAAAATAAGAATAATAAAAGTTACAGTGTTTACAATAATCTATTTGAAAATATTTATTTATTTATTTTTGAATATTTTATTACGGTACGGGAAGTTCCAGCAATTTGCCTTAATGCACGATGACATACATCACTAGT